CCTAGAACCTACTGATTAAGAGTCAAGTTCGCGTGTCGTGTGGTGCGCTGGCGTTGTTTTTTCTCGCGTTCTGCGCCGTTCGTACCGCCACCATTCACATCGGGCGGTGCGTGAAGTGCCGGTTGGGTGAGATTTGGGTGGGACGCCGCTCGACGCGGCTGCGTTCTTGTGGGCCGCGGCACTGATCGCCCTGCCCTGCCCCGCCAGCGACTTTTGGCGTCGGTTTTTCTTTGAGATTCTTTTCGGGCAACAATGACCGAATTGGTGCGTTCTGTTGCGCTGACGCTGCGTTTCGGTGTCGCAACTTATCTCGCGAGTCCAGGGCTTTCGCAATCGACAGCTCGGAACGCATGTCCCACCCAGACAGGGCATCGAACATTTCTTGCCCGTTAAGTTTGTCTGCGTCACGTGCATGAACACTCACGCCTGACGTGAGCAGCTCCTATCTAAGGCCGCACGTGACAATGCCGCTCGGCTTCGGTCGAGCCTCTCAGTAGGAGCTGCTCACGCTGGGCGTGAACCACCAGGAGGCGGTCGGCCCGCGAGACGCACGACGTGGTTCTCACGGAGGAGCGCGGGCCCCGCCACTTTTTCAATGGCAGCAGCTTCCCAGAACTCGCTGGCGTTTGACGTCGGCAGTCCGCTCTCGCTGGAGCCGGTTCGGCCGGTCTCCGTCGCGCCTCGCGACGCGTCGATCGCGGAGCGGTTCGCGGCGTTCCACGCGGCCAACCCGCACGTCAACACGGCGATCGTTGGGCTCGCGCGGCACGTGAACCGGGTGTACGGGCTAGAGCGGTGCAGCATGAGGGCGCTGTTCGAAGAGCTCCGCTGGCAGCATCGGCTGGCGACCCGCGGCGAGGCGTGGCTGCTGAATAACGTGTTCACCGCTGAGTACGCGCGGCTGGTGATGCGGCAGGAGCCCGACCTGGCGGGCTTCTTCGAGACGCGGGCGCTGGTGCGGAAGAAGTGAGCGAGGGCGGCGGTGCGCCCGCCGCGTGTTGAACGTCGTGGTTCAGCCGGCGGCGCGAATTGTTCGCCGCCGGCTCCCCCTGTAATTAATCAAGGAGACTGCGTTGCAGATCATCACACGGAGTGTGGGCGAGTCGCTCACCGTGAAGGGCGCCCGGGTAATGGTGCTTGATCAGGAAGGTCGGCGCGTCCGGCTGGGCGTCAGTGGGCCGCCGGGCGGCGTGGCCGCCCCGCTCAACGGCTCGGCGCCGCGATCGGCGCCGGTGGTTGGCCTGGTCGGCTACGCCGGCGCGGGCAAGGACGCTGCCGCGGCCGAGCTGGTCAAGCAGGGCTGGCGGCGGCTGGCGTTCGCCGAGCCGCTGCGGCGGGCGCTGCTGACGCTGAACCCGGTGGTGCGGCTGGACAATGGGTCGCACGGCCGGCTGGCGCCGATGGTGGCCAGCTTTGGATGGGACCACGTGAAGCGGCACGGCGACGTACGGCGGCTGCTGCAGACGTTGGGGACCGAGGTGGTGCGCGAGCTGATCTCGGCCGAAGCGTGGGTCGACCTGCTGCGCTGCGAGATCGTGCAGAGCGACAGCGCGGCGCCGATCGTGGTGACTGACGTGCGGTTTGCCAACGAGGTCGCGATGCTGCGGGGGGAGTTCGGCGCGCGGCTGGTCCGCGTGGTGCGTCCGGGCGTCGGTCCGGTGAACGGCCACGTCAGCGACGCAACCGAAGACCTGCAGGTCGACGGCGAGGTGCAGAACGACGGCACGCCGGAGCAGTTGTGCCGCCGGGTGCTGGACTGCGTGCGGACCTTTCAGGAGGAGGACGCCGCGGCATGAGCTGGATTGGGCTGTACGAGGGGGGACGCGTGGACCTGCTGCACCCGCGACCGGAGCAGTTCTCGATCGAGGACATCGCGCGTGGGCTGTCGCGCGTCAACCGGTTCGTGGGGCACACGCACGAGCCGTACTCTGTGGCCCAGCACTCGGTGATCGTCTCGCGGTTGGTCCCGCCGGAGCTTGCGCTGTGTGGGCTGCTGCACGACGCCAGCAAGGCGTACCTGGGCGATCTGGTGCGGCCGCTCAAGCAGAGGCTGCCCGACTACGTCGAGCTGGAATCGCGGATGATGCTGGCGATCGCCGAGCGGTTTGATTTCCCGTGGCCCAAACCCGCCGAGGTCCGTGAGGCTGACAACCGGCTGCTGGTGACCGAGCGCGACCTGCTGCAGCCGAAGGCGTCGGCGTGGGAGTCGCTGCGGGATGTGAAGCCCTATGTGCCGTTCACGATCCGCTATCAGCCCTGGACTGACGCCGAGACGGAGTTCCTTCAGCGACACGATGACATCGTCACCGGCAGGCCGACGGAGCTACCGAACGCCATAGACCGACTGACCGACAACCCGCGTCCGCTGGGGGACGCGTCGCTTCACTGAAACCCGGGGGAAGCTCCGATGCCACGCTGCTACCTGCTGAAGATTGACGACGACCCGTGGGCGCTGCTGGGCGTGGACCGAGCAGTGGCCGCCTACACGCTCCGCGAGAAGCTGATCGACCGGATGCGCTGCGTCGCCGACGGCGAGCCGGTGGCGGTGACCGTGAGGACCGAGAGCGTGAGTCAGGACGAGCTTGACACCCGACAGGACTGGTGAGCGATGCGTACGAAAACCCCTTGCCATGGCCAACGGCGGCTGCCGCTGTCGCGGGAGGAGCGGCTGGGGCTGCTGGACAACCGGGACCTCGAGAAGCTGGGCGTCGCCACGCGGAAGTGGCGGAGCGTGCGCGAGTTGCTGCGGCAGATCGAGTACTGCGGCGGCGCGGACTCCAGCTACGCGCGGGTGGAGACGCTGGCCGCGCGGATGGGCTGCAGCAAGCGGACCGCGCAGCGGGCGCGGCGGGCGGCGGAGGGGGCGGGGCTGCTGCGGGTGGCGGAGCGGTACACCAGTACGGGGCAGCGGACCAACCAGTGGCTGGTCGCTTGGGACCGGCTGGCGGCGGCGCCGCTGGAAGTGTCACCCCCGGGCGGCGTGGTGACGCCCCCCCGTGTCATCGCGTCACCCCCGGGTGACGTCGTGTCACCCCCTATAGAGATTCATCAGAGTTCCACTAGAGATCCTCTAGAAACGGTCGACCGCCGCGACGACCAGAAAAACTTGGAGGTGGACTGGCAGCGGGCGGAGCGTGACGCCGCGCGGTTGGAGCGGCGGGTGGGCCCCTGCCGCAGCAACCAGGACCGGGACTTGGCGATCAAGGCGGCGGCGCTCTCGCAGCGGTACGGCGAGCGGTGGCTATGGGACGCGGCCGAGGCGTGCCGCGTGGTGCGGCCGGAGCGCCCGTGGGCGTACTTCTGGAGTTGCATCGCGGACGCCGCCAGGAAGCAGCAGCGACGGCTGACGCGCGACCTGGCGCGGCTGCGGCCGCCGCCGGCGGCGGCTGGCGTGGACCTGAGCGAGCGGCTGTGCGCCGCGGGAGGGCCGTCGTGAGCAGGCTGCAGGGCATCGGGTGCGCCGAACCGGTCGAACGCGTGCTGTTGGTGGACTACCAGCGGGGCGGCGAGCGGTACCGGTTTGTGTTCCGGGCCGGGCAGCGGGACCAGGTGCGGCGGCTGCTGGGGCGGTACGCGGCGGACACCGACTTGGCGTTCAACTGGCACGACGCGGTGCAATTGAGCTCGATGATCAATCAGGCGGAGGAGATCTAACCATGGTGAAGGTGATCAAGCACGGCCAGGCGCCGCTGTTGGTGTTCGAGGGCGTCGGCCGGGCGAAAAAGTCGGTGCTGCAGAAAGAAGGAGGGGCTGATGCCTAGCGACCCATCGTGGCGCCCCGTCAACCGTGTGCAGGCGTACTTCGAATCGGAGGGCGAGCAAGCTCAGACATCGGAGCAACCGACGCATTTCGACGCCGATCGCGGACGAGGACACAGCTGTCATCTGCCGTACTGCAACTGCGGCTACGGCGACGCCAACCACTGCACGTGCCGCAGCGAGGCGATTGCGATCGCTATCTACGGCGCGTCGTTCGCCGTCGTGCTGGCGCTCTTGTCTTGGCTCCTGTAGCGGGCTGAGGCAAGAAGTTTTCACCGTTTGAAGCAACCGTAAGGCAGGAAGCCTATGCCAAGGCACCGAGAGATCACGCTCACGTTTCCGGCGGTGTACCAGATCGGCGTTCCGTTCGCGACGGTGCGCGGGAACCACCAGGAGGTGCTGATCGTCACGATGGACGACGAGTGGTTAACCGACGATCAGCTGCGGGCGAAGGCGGAGCGGGTGCGGAAGCGGTTGGCGATGGGGCGTCGGGATCGGTAGTGTTTCGAGTGGCCCCTGGCGCCAAGCACTAGGTTCGGAGTCAGCGACCGCGTGCCCTAGGTTGGCCGCGGCGATCTCAACTGGATACCGATGGTTCGGTCTGAACCACCTCGATGTATCTTTGCCGTTGGCTGAAGAGCCCACGGCTGCGGGCTCTGTCAGCCGAAGGGGTCTATTGGGCCTGTTAGCTTTGAGGCCGACGTTTGGGCGGGGACTTGAGTTGATCCACCACACGGCGGACGCCGGCAATATTGCCTACCGCTTTGAGGATCGGTCTGCGCTGGTTCTCGTACTGTAGCGCGCCGCTCAGTGTGACCGTTCCTTGCTGGACGGTGGCGGTCACTTTCGACTGCGCTCCGGTCCCCGTCCGTTCTAGCCGCTGGTTCACGGTCTTCTGCAGCGATCTGTCGGGGACCTGGTTTTGGCCGAACATTGGGTCGAACCTCTTGAGGGGGTTGGTGTGCGTCGGCGCCCGACGGGTCATGCGCCCGTTCTTTCGCACTCGCGCATCATTTCGAATCCGGCCTTCGTCAGAGAGTACGCGCCGGGGCGCTTCTCCCGGACAAGCAGTTCCTTCTCCACTAGCTCTTCTAACGCCAGGTGGTGCTTGTCCCAGCCTGCGCCCCAGAAACAGAGCATCTCGCGCGGCTCCATCAGGTACTGATGAAACGTCCGCAGGACTGATCGTTGTGGCTTGGGCAACAAACGGTTCATTCGTTCCTCGACATCACACGGGGCGGAGCAGACGCCGTTAGGTACTTGCGCCTAGAATGGACTTGCGTCGTTCCAGGTCTCTGGAGAGGGTCTTGAGGGCGTCGCTGCCGGCACGCATCGATTTCAGCACGGCCTCCGCTTCCGTCAGGGTCAGCAGCGTCACTGCCTGCCCCCGGAACAGTTTGCGCCAGAGCCGGACCGCTTCGTCATCGGAGAGCATTGTCGATTACCTTTTTTTGTCGTTCACTCAGGTGGGCCTACGACTCTCCGCCGATGTCGAACTCGAACTGGCAGTCAGGATCGAGATGGTCCAGGAGTTCATCGCTCCTGACTCCATGGGCGACCTTGGATGCGTCGAACATCGATTTCGCGCCATCGAGGTCGACCATGCCGTTGGCGAGCAGGGCGCACTGGATGAATCCGATCCATCGGTGGAGCTTCGTGGCGGGCCAGTCTTCGGCGTGGTCCTGAATCCGCTCGCACATCCACTCCAGGTGAGCGGGCTGCAGGGACCTAGGCAGCATCGTGAGGGGCTCGTCCCATGCGCCGACGATCGTCTTGCACTTTTCCGCCATGGCTGTGATCAGCACCGCAGACTCGTCCATGGAGATCTCCTAGGCTTCCGGGTTGATTCGTTCCGTGGCGCGGTCCATGCGGAGGAGTTTCCGGCGCGCCTCCGTCTTGACCCGCACTGCGGCGCCGGGCATGGCAAGGACTCCCTTGAGGTCGCCTATCGCTTGGTCTTGCTCTCCCATCGCGAGCAGCACCAACGCCCTGTTGTAGAGCGCCATCGCCACCAGTTCGGGCGGCGCGCCATCCATCTGGATCACCATCCTGTAATCCTCAATCGCCAATGCACGCTGGTGCAGCTTTGCACGCGCCATCCCCCGCCGGTAGTGCCACTTGGCTTTCTGCCGGGGTGAGCTTCTTAGGGTGAACCACTTAAGTATCTGCATTCAACGGGTCCGTCGCTGCGCTAGCGCGCACTGGAGCGACTGCTGTGCGGAGGCTGCTTCGGACTAACGCCTCCACCGATTCCGGCGTGTGGAAAGAACCGTAGGCGATCCGGAAGAAGCAGCCCCCCTGATGGGGCTGCTGGTACGGTTCGCTCGTGGTAAAAGCGAAACTACGACTGAGGCGCGACACGACCCGTCGCGCCGTTTGAAGGTCTCTTACACCGACGCGGCACGCGTATGCTTCGTCGAAGACTAGATACGAATCTGAACGGAGGGCTGCTGGAGCCAAGAATCGCCCTGGCTATTGAGGGGCGGCTGTGGGCTCTACTTCCAATGCCTGTTGTCGTATCCGCCTTTCACGGACTGTCTCAAAAGGCATCCCCTCCAAGAGCTCATACCGCTCGGCACGGATGAACCAGAAGGCCAATCCGCCCGAGTTGTGGCGGGGCGAGTTCGCGGCCGCTGGCGCCCGCACTCCCAGCGACCCCTTCTTGCCCGTCTTCTTCCAGCCACGGCGTTCCATGATGATGCGCACCAGAACACCGATTGCCTGGCGGAGCCGCTGCGACCGCTGGGCGTGAATCCCTGATAAGAATTCGTTGATCTGGGGGTGGCACTCCAGTTCCCTAACGACCCCGGCGAGCGGCGCGCGGTCGTGGTGGATCTCGGACTCCTCCATCCTCCGCTGGCATTCTGCGTCGTTGAAGAAGTCCAGCACCGCTTCAAAGGGCAGTTCCTGGTCATTGACGACATCTGAAAACGTCTTGCCCTGCTTGTCCGCAAGGAACACGTTGCGGGTGACTCTAATGCGTGGCATAGGAACCTGGTGGTGGAGCGGGTCCGGCGTCTGGCGGGCGCTGGCGTGCTGTGGAGATACAATTATTGTATCTCCAAAATCGGCATCTGCGGGGTGGAATCGATGAAGAATCTTGAAGTAGCACCGAATCGTCGGAAGTGGACGCGACAGGCACCTGCTAACTCCTTTGCTAGCGTCACCTCTTACAACCGATTATGGACGCCGGGGGCATCGTCCGGCCGGGGGCGTCGGCGGAGCTGCACCGGTAGCTGAGGAAGCAGCTGGGCGGGAGGTCGCCGGGGGTGGAGGGGGGATGCGGGCGGCGCGGGTGGAGGAGATCTAGAGGGGACGGCGGGCCGGAAGGGGGTGTGACCCGCAGGTCGGTTCGGTCAGTTAGGGGCCGAAGCGACCTGCGTCGGTCGATGAAGCCGGTGCACTATCAGGCGCTCCGAATCTGACGGAGGTTGTGACAACCTCAGTGAGTTCGTTGCCGTTCTTCGGCGCCGCGGGCGATACAACCTTGGTCGGTAGGGGCACCCGCGGACAGGGGGCAGATAGTTCAATCAACTTCGATCGGAATGGGCGATCAGAGGGCGTCAAGGCCGGGCATGCTGTATGGCCACCGCGGCCAAGTCAAGCTCGTATCGCTCGATCAAGGTGAATGCCTGAAATAAGAATACGCGCTGCCCGAACGATGAAGGTCTGATTCGCCCCGAGCACTTCAAAACATGATTGCAAGAACTTCCACGGATCGCTCCGTGGGGAGGATTGTCCCGGCTTTCCTGGGCGTGGTCCCTCGTTTGGTGTAGATTCAGTAGCACTTACCCCTTGTCCCACTGGCGAGTGATGCAAATGCGGCTGTCAACTCATCGATCGGCAACTCTCTCGTTCGTGGCCGCGATGCTGCCTCTTTGTGGCATCGTGGCGTCTCCGGCACCGGCCGCGGTCTACTCCCAGGTCGCTCAGGTGTCTGGAAGCGGATTGGGTGATAATGGCGCCGGCGATGGAACCACACGCACTGCTCAGGCGAGCACGGCTGACAAGTTATTCGCTGGCTCCGCTCGCGCCCGCAGCGCGGCGGGGTTCGTCTCCGGGTACGTCCTCGCCTTCGCCGATAGTCGAGCTTTCCCCAGTGGGGGATTCGTCTCGGCTAAAGCTTCAGCGTACCTGCAAATCAACGATGTTGTAATCAGCCGCACTGACCCAAACCTACCCGACACGGTCGAGACGACGTTTCAGATAAGCTTCGACGACAACACCGACCTAGACCGCCTGACTACCATCAACGGCGGACTGGGCAACTCGGACGATTTTGACCTCGACGGCGCGCAGGACGGATTGCTGGATGTGACCAAGACGGTGCCCGTCGACACGCCGCTGTCGATTTTTCTAACGGCCGGCATTGGGGCCACGCTCCAAAGCATGCCCGGTCAGATTGAAGCCAGCTTCACTGCCAGTCTGGGGGGATCGCCCGTCTTCCTGCTTCCCGACGGGTATGTGGCCAACAGCGTCGATGGGCAGATCGAAGATAGTTGGTATGTCGGTCCGGTAGGTTCCGTCGTTCCCGAACCCACCACGCTGACCGGGTTGCTGGCCGTCCTGCTGCCGGCTTTGCTGTGCCGGCGTGGCTTCTGCCGCGGCGACCTCTCCGTGTCTCCATGTTCCTAGCGTCCCTCATCACTGCAAGAACGCGCAGTCGGTAGGCGACTGAGGTCGAACCAGTTTCAGTGAGTTAGCCGCCTGCCCGAGCCGCTGATGCGTTCGACCGGCGGCGGCGCCTCCGCGGCTAAGCCGGGAGGGGCCGCCCTGTCCAGGGTACTACGCTGGGTGGAGCCCGCGGCGACTGCACGCGCATTCGCGGTCGTCGCTGTGCACCAACGCGGTGCACGCCGCCGTCGCGGGCTGTTGCGTTGAGTTTGGTCGGGCTGTCTTTGACCAGGGGAGCCCGTAGTGCTTGGGGCGCCTGATGATCCAAGAATACTTGATTACCAAGAGGCGGTGTCACAATGAAACATAGGCCCCTTAATGTGGTTAGAGACCTCCTGCTCCCTTTCGCTCAACGCACCTGTGGCCACGCCTTTCGTGCTGATGCTGCGGCCCCGTAGCGGGGCACAACAATGGGTGGCGAGTGAGCAGTACGTGCTGACGCCCAGTGTGCCAGCGGTTGAATTCACCGACCAGTTTGGCAATTTGTGCCAAAGGCTGGTTGCGCCTTCCGGGAGTTTCTTGATTCATACTGGAGCCGTCATCGAGGCGGCCGACGCCGCCGACCTCGCCCCCGGGGCGCCCTTTGTCGAGGTGCAGCAGCTCCCTGACGCGGCGTTGCCGTTCCTGCTTCCAAGTCGGTACTGCGAATCGGACCGATTCAGTCAGATGGCAGCGTCCATCACGGCCGGGTACACCGCGGGTTACGACCAGTGTTCCGCGATCGTCGACTACATTCGCGGCTCTCTGCGATACGTGCCCGGCGCCGGTCAGCAAATCATCAGCGCGGCCGAGGTGAATGGCCGAACGCAGGCGGTCTGCCGCGACATGGCCCACCTGGGCATCGCCCTCTGCCGCGCGTTGAGCATCCCCGCACGGATGGTCGTCGGGTACCTCGAATCGCTTCAGCCAATGGACCTGCACGCGTGGTTCGAGGCGTATGTGGGCGGCCGCTGGTACACCTTCGATCCTACGCAGGACGCCTTGCATGGGGGACGCGTGTCGATTGCTTACGGCCGCGACGCCGCGGACGTCGCTGTTTACACCCAGTTTGGCGAACCGGTGGACCTGGTTAGCATGACCGTCCGAGTGACGCGGCTATCCGGGCCGCCCACATGAACGGAGCGATGGCGATTCCTGCGCCTCGCGTTTCTCTAGCATCCGAGAGAGGTGCTCCAAGCCGAAATCGCAACCAAAGTCACGCCTGAGCGCTTGACGTGGATTGTGGAGGCTAGACTTCTTGCAGCGGTGTACACAATCTCGGCGCCTTCATAAGTCCCGGTTCAGACGGCGGTTGTGACGACATCAGCGAGTTTGCTACCGCTTTTTGGTGCCGCGAACGATGCAACCTCAGAGGTTTCATCTAGGCACCCGGCCTAGCAAGATAAGTGACCTCACTTGCTAGCCATGCATGCACCACAGGAGGCGCCGAATCAAGCAGACACGTCACACGCCCGCGTCCGGGGTCCCGACAATCAGCGTGTCACGGTACGCGATGCCATCGATTCATAAGCCGTGCAGCCTCCTCGCTATGATTCATTAACGAGACAGGCAGTTGAATCGCGGCCTTCGGCGCAGCGTGTGTCCGGGGTCGCCGGCTATGACAAGACGAGGCGCCGGACTTTCGCAAGTAAGAGGCCGTTGTCGATCGGCTTGCTCAAGTAGTCGTCACACCCGGCTTTGATGCAGCGGCTCATGTCGCCTTGCATGGCGTCTGCGGTGAGCGCAACGATCGGTCCTTTGTAACCGAGACGCCGTAGTTGATCCGCGGTTCGATAACCGTCCAGCCTTGGCATCTGCATGTCAAGCAGAATGATATCGACGATGCGGTCGTTCCGCAGCATTTCTTGAACCATCTCGACGGCTTGCTGCCCGTCTTCGGCTTCGGTGATACTGGCGCCGGCTTTTCCCAAGAGCCGGGTGGCGAGATACCGAATCTCTCGACGATCGTCGACGATCAACACGCTGCAGGCGAGTGGCGCCCCTTCAGACGCGAGCGGTTGCGGCTCGTACTCGCTCGACCGATCCAACGGGATGAGACGAGCCCCAGCGATGTCGCCGCAGTCGATCGTGGCGGTGAAGCAACTGCCGACCCCCGGTTCGCTACGCACGGCGATATCGCCCCCCATCAATCCGGCCAAACGCTGCGAAATCGCCAGACCTAGGCCCGTGCCCTCGAACCGTCGTGAGACCGACGAGTCGACCTGCGTGAACGGCTTGAACAGCTGATGGATCTGCCGCTTGGTCATGCCAATCCCCGTATCGGCGACCTGGAACTCAATACGATTGGTTGATTTGTCGTACCGTACGGAGAGCGTCACTACGCCGCGGTCGGTGAACTTAATCGCGTTACCAACGAGGTTGATTAGGATTTGCTTCAATCGCTTAGGGTCGGACACAATCACTTCCGGTACGTCGCTGTAGTCTAGCTCAAACTTGATGCCGCTTTCGGCAGCGCGAACGCCCATAACGCTCCGCACGTCCTCAACGACGCTGATAGGAGAGAACGGCTCGGCGAATAGCTCGATTTTGTCGGCTTCGATCTTCGACAGGTCCAGGATGTCGTTGATGATTTCCAGGAGGTACAATCCGTTTCGGCGGACGGTCGCGACGTGCTGCCGGGCTTCGCCATTCGTCGCACTCTCGCCAATCAGGTCCACATACCCAAGGATCGCCGTCATCGGCGTACGGATCTCGTGACTCATGTTGGCGAGGAACTCACTCTTGGACCGGTTCGCGAGTTCGGCTTGCTCACGGGCCTCTCTCAAGGAAGCCTCCGCGTCGTGGCGTGGGGTCACGTCCCAGATTACGCCCGAGTGGCGGATCGTTCGCCCGGACTTCCCCCGGACCGGTTCCCCGATCGCCGACAACCAGCGCTGGCCGAGCCGCGGGTGGAGGATGCGAAACTCCATCTCTAGGTCGACTCCGTCGGCCAAGGATCGCTCCCAACGATCGACTAGCTCGTCGCGGTCGTCGTCGTGCACGCGTTCGAAACACCGTTCGGGTTCGGGCGCCAACTCGCTATCGAAGCCAAACAGCTCGTAGAATCGCGGCGACCAATAGAGTTCTCGCTCGCTCCACTCCCAAACGCCCATCTGTCCGGCCTGCAACGCCATTTGCAGCCGTCGGGAATCGATTGCGGCCCCCTCGGCGGCTCGGCGACGTTCATCGATCAAGTCCCTCACGGCGCACTGGCGCTGGCGGTCACGCAGCCGCGCCCGCACCGTGCTCACGAAGACCGCGATCCGGATCGGGCAAGGGACCAGCGTCACATTTCCCAGCGACAGCAGCTGCTCAACCCGCTGTGATGACAACGCGGCCTTGCCCAGTAGCACCAGGAGCGGGAACTCCGACCAATCCGGCTGATTCGCCAGCGTGCGCTGAATCCGCTTGAAGCCGGCCGCGTTCAGCCATGCCTCCGGCGCCACGCCGACTCCAACTCCCGCTTCAATCGCTTGGCACAGTTCGCCAATGTCTCGGCAGAAGGCCACACCGATCTCAGCATTCTGCAGGATTTCATCGCAGATCCGCGAGTCCGAGGCCGTGGGCGCGAGGACTGCGACCCTCTCGATAGGGTTTTCGGCTCGGAGTCGAGTTGTCATTCTGAACGCTTCTCCCGGTCCGGCATGAGCGCGTCCTGAGATCCGACGAACTCCGGCGTTCCCGAAAGCACCCCGCGAAAGTTGGTTAGGGGTTGGCCGATGACCAAGCCCTGCTCGCCCATGCTGAATTCGCGGATCGTGCGCTCGTGATTGGCGGTTCGGTTCTTTACGACCGAGATCGCACGGTGGATCTCGCCATCGGCCTCGAAGTAGCGAAAGAGGATCACCGCATCGGCCAGGTAGCTCGTGTCGACAGGCGTGGCCATGCCCCGTCCCAGCATGCCGTGCTGCGCGACGACCAGGAACGTCACGACGCCCCGCTTGGCGAGGTAGTTCAGCATGTCGTTAAGTTGGATCATCAGGTGTTTCTCGTGGGGCATCGAGTTGAGATAGCCGTTAAGGCTATCGATCAACACCACGGAGGTCGGCCGGCTCTTCTGATCGGGCTCCGCCGCTGAGCGGACGATCATCGAAAACTCATTTGGGGTGATCTCACCCGCTTTCAGGTGGCGGACCTCGATCAATCCTTCGTCAACGTACCGCCGCAGCGGTAGGCCCAACCCCTTTGATCTTAAGAACAGCGCGTGGGAGCTTTCTTCGAACTCAAACAGCACAGCGCGCTCCCCACGCTTCGCCGCCTCAACGGCGAATTGGACCCCGGTGGTCGATTTGCCGATGCCCGCCGGCCCTAGGAGCAGGGTGCTGGAGCCCTTGGCAAGCCCGCCTCCCAGGAGCGAGTCCAGCGCCGGCAGTCCGCTGCTCACCGATTGGCCGTCGACCTCGGCAGCGGGGCCGTCCACCCCGCGCGGGTAGACCCGTATCCCGCCACGAACCAGTTGGAGGTCGTGGGCGCCCCCGATAAAGTCCGACCCTCGAAACTTCGTCACGCGGAGAAAACGGCGCTCGCCTCCGTAGTCGGTCAACCGTTGCTCGAGCCGGATGACTCCGTGGACGAGGCTTTGTAGCTCCTGATCGTCGCCATCGGACTTGTCGTCCAGCAACAGCGACGTGCAGTGGCGCCCCGCCAGAAACTGTTTTAATGCCAGGATTTCGCGCCGGTACCGGAGCGCTCCCTGCGAGAGTAGACGCATCTCCGACAGCGAATCGAAGACGATGCGGTCGGGCTTAATTGAATCGATCTGCTTGTGGACGTCGCCTACGGTCGCGCCCAGTTCGACCTCGGCGGGTTCGAACATGGTGTACTGAACCCGGTCAACGTCCTCGTCCGGCCTGACAAGTTCGTGGATCTCGATCCCGTCGAGACACCAACCGTGCGAGCGGGCGATGTCACGCAGTTCTCCCACCGACTCTGAGCGCGTGACGTAGATCCCCTTCTCGCCGGCGTCGCGGCCCGCCAGCAGGAATTGCATCCCTAGCGTGGTCTTCCCGGAACCGGGGCTTCCCTCGATCAGGTAGAGCCTGTCGGCGGTCAAGCCACCGTGCAGCACGTCGTCGAGCGCCCCAATCCCGGTACTTACCCGAGCCCGCTCTTCTATTTGATTGTCCGTCACCTTTTCGTCCGTTTGTGTCTCTAGGGCACGCCGAAGGTGTCGCAGGATGGGCGGACATCGGTCGGGCACAACAGTATAGCAAAACGGTCGTCGCCTTGGTGTGCGCGCTCCAACTGAGCCCCCTGCCAGGAGCAACGGCCCCACTAATGCCTGCTAGAACTCGCAATCATCGCTGTTCTGAACATGCTTGCAGCAGGGAGCCACCCCATACGGCATAAAGCTCACGACGAGATGCTGAGGTTGGGCCAACCGCCTGGAGTTACGTCCGCGGCAAATGCGCTGAGGTGTTCCGAACATCGGCGCCTTCAGAGAGCCCGGTTCAGACGGCAGTTGTGACAACCGACGCGCGTTTGATACCTGGCAGATTGCGGTCGGAGAGTTCCACCCCTAGCAGATGGATTGGCTCTCTCTGGCGCCAATCTCCGACTTGTCCGACAGTGCTGGGCCGGGTTCCAGCGGCACAATGCTAGGCGAGCCCGCGGTGGCAACGGGCGTCGCGACAAAGGAGGGCGAGTCTCAAAACCAACCTCATTAGACATCGATTTACGTTGAAGACCGTATCGCAGGCAGAGAGAATCACGGCTTGGAACGAGTTGCAATAACTGCCGATCTCACGAACCTGCTGTCCTGTTGAGCGTATGACGCAATGAGAGCAACGAACTATGCGCTGTCGGCCGATGCTATGAGCGAGTCCCCTTCGATATCGGGACGAACACCGGTGCCCGCGATCTGCCTCAGCTTCCTCACCGTTGTCCTCGCCATCGCGGCAGCCGATTCGGCGTTGTCCGGAGAGTTGCCGGCCTTCCCCGGTGCGGAAGGGTATGGCGCTCGAACCATAGGCGGTCGCGGCGGACGGGTGATTGCGGTAACCAACTTGAATGAGTCCGGTCCGGGAAGTTTCCGCGCCGCAATCCAAGCCAAAGGGCCGCGAATCGTCGTGTTCCGTGTCGCCGGAACGATCGACAGCGAGGGCAAACGGTTCAGCATCAAGAACGACAACATCACGATCGCTGGCCAGACGGCTCCCGGTGACGGCATTTGCATCAAAGGCGACCTGTCGCTCAACGCCAACGATGTCGTCATTCGTTACATCCGCGTGCGGCCCGATCCGGTATCCCGCGAAGTCGACGCGGTTTTTGGTCGTTACAAAGAGAACATCATCCTCGATCACGTCTCCACAAGCTGGAGCAGTGACGAAGTGTTGTCGGTGTACCACAACGAACACGTCACGATCCAGTGGTGTTTGATTTCCGAAGCGTGTGCAAAAGGCAGTTCCGGACACCGTTTTGGCGGCATTTGGGGCAACAACTTCGGCACTTACCATCACAACCTGATTGCCCACAACGACAGTCGCAATCCGCGCTGGGCGTCGGGCTGCGGCTACAACGACTACCGCAACAACGTGATTTACAATTGGGGCTACGAAAGCTGCTACGGCGGCGAAGCCCGCCAGAAGGGCGACCGGAGAAATCCCCCCATCGAACATTCGACGATCAACATGCTTGCCAACTACTACAGACCCGGCCCGGCCACGCGTAGTGACGTCAAGGATCACATCGCGAAGCCTTCGTCGAGGGGCGAGGGGGATTCAGGCAGTTGGCACGTGGCAGGCAACCATTTTCATGGCTTTCCCGAGGTAACCACGGACAACTGGCTGGGTGTGAAGGGCAATCGGTTCAAGAGACTGACTGAGCCGTGGGGCGCAATGCCGATCGAGCGGCAGTCAGCGGAGGAGGCTTACGAAGCAGTCCTCACCCACGCGGGTTGCTCGTTTCCCAATCGCGATTCGATTGACGTTCGCATCGTCGAAGAAGTGCGCACCGGCACGGCGCAGTTCGGCGCGAACGGCATCATCACAACTCCAAAAGATGTCGGCGGTTGGCCGAAGCTGAAGTCAGCAGAACCGCCGGCCGACGCGGATGAAGACGGCATGCCCGACGAATGGGAGAAAGCACACGACCTGAACCCCGACGACGCTTCGGACGCGGCAAGAGACCGCGACGATGACGGCTATTCCAACATCGAGGAGTACGTCAACGGATTGGCAAGATGACGCGGCATCAGCTCTTAGCCGGTGAAACCATCGGGTGTCACTGGCTACCAGTCTGTGAACCTGTGATTGCCAAGCGACCCGCTAGAGGCTTATCCCACGTCTACATACTTTGGATACACAGAAATTGAACACCTTACATCCTACACTCCTGATTCCCACGATAATCCTCGCCTACCTGACCACCTTCGCGTGCGCGCAGCAGGCTAACGCCGTCTCGGACAACCCCCGGGTCATCGTCACGACCGATGGAGAAATCGACGACGAATGCTCGATGGTGCGGTTCCTGTTGTACGCGAATGAGTTCGACGTCGAAGGAATTGTGACATCGAGTTCGCAGTATCACTGGCAGGGCCACAAGTGGGCGGGCGATGACTGGATTCAGCCGCTTCTGGACGCTTATGAGAGAGTCTATCCCAACCTCAGCCAGCACGACCCCGACTTCCCCGCACCAGACTATCTCAGATCCATCACCGTGCTCGGCAATGTCAAATCGGAAGGCGACATGGATGAAGAAACGGTGGGCTCAAATCTGATCGTCAAGGCCCTGCTGGACGATTCCGACGACCGACCGATCTGGTTGCAGGCGTGGGGAGGACCCAACACTATCGCGCGGGCGTTGAAGACGATTGAGGAGAAGCATCCGGATAAGATGGCCGAAGTGGCAAAGAAGATCCGCTTCTATTTTATCTGGGAGCAGGATGAAACCTACCAGAAATACATTCGGCCGCGCTGGGGCGAGTTCAACATTCCGACGATCGTCTCCGACCAGTTCATCGCCTTCGCCTATGAACGTCAACGCAAGGCCGTACCTCAGGAAGTGCAGCGATATTTCTCCGCAGAATGGATGAACGAGAATGCCCTGCGCAGCCATGGGCCGCTACTCGAAACGTACAAAGCGCACGATGATGGACGTTTCAGGTCCGAGGGCGACTCGCCGGCGTTCCTGCACGTTATTCCGACCGGTCTGCGCAGCGAAGAATCACCCGACTGGGGCGGTTGGGGCGGTCGGTTTACCAAAGTCCGCGAGAACACGTGGCTCGATCATGTTGCGGAGCGTGGCTACGAGTATCCCAAGGGTCGTTGGTATGGCAGTTCGGCATGGGGTCGCAGACGTGCAAAACGGGAGACTACCAAAGAACCGGAATTGACTGCCTACCTCAAACCTCAATGGCGCTGGATCGATGCGATTCAGCAAGATTTTGCGGCACGAGCCGACTGGTGCGTGAAATCTTATGACGAAGCAAACCATCCGCCCGATGTCAAATTGGCCCACGACGCCGACTTGGAGGTCAAACCGGGCGAGACGGTTTCGCTGAGCGCTGCTGGAACCAGCGACCCCGACGGTGACGCATTAACGTATCGCTGGTGGCAATACGAGGAAGCCGACTCGGCGGAATCCCGGGTAGAGATCGACAACGCGGGCCAGCAAGAGGCCAGCTTTGTCGTCCCCAACGAGCCCGGCAAACAGATTCACATCATTCTCGAAGCTACTGACGTTGGGACGCCGCCGCTTGTTCGATATCAGCGGGTCGTGTGCAACATCGAATGATCGACCACAGCCAAAGGCCGTGGTATTGGGAAGGCCCCGGCGGGTGGCACTGGAGAACACCCGAATGGTTCGTATTCAGCGCGGTTCTTGGGGCTCCGCAACTCCCAGCGGTGCTCATCACTTCGCTCAGATTAGACTCCGGCCACGGTGCAGCGATTGGACCAACACCAGCAGATTCGCGCGTCGCCCAAATGCACGATGTGTGCCCACCCTCAGCGGCCAAGTAGTTCTGTCTAAGTGCAGAGGTCTAGTTCAAGATTCGCCACCGCTGCGGTTTGACGAAACCTCTTCTAGCGGTCGGGCGATGCAACCTCGTGCTCGAAGCAAGGAGTGCGCGCAAGAGCCCAGCCGACCAAAGTAGCTGACGCCTTCGTCCAAGAACGATTCATCACTTCATGGCGGTGAAGCGGATCGGTACCGCAACAGACGCATCCGTCATCCGAATAGCCGACTGAGTCAGCCGGGCAAGCACTCGGTGCCACGGCTGCGGGGACGCGGCGAACCTCTCCCCTGAGCAGAAAGGAGGGCTAGCCGCCGACGGTTTTGCAGATACAATATTTGTACGTCCAGGGTGTCGCCCACCGTCCGCGAAGCCAACTGGATGCCGAAAGCGAAGATCACACGCCGGGACTTCGTGGATGATCGCGAGGGGAGGACGTTCTTGGATGTCGTCGACGATCCCGAACAGCCCTTTGATACCGTGCTGGAGTGCTTCAGCGACGCGGAATGGCAGTGGCGGATGGAAGACGCCGAGATCCACCACGACCGCGCGCCCCTCGTAGGCGTCGTACGAGAACTGGAGTCGCACCCCAAAGTCGAAGCGTTCCTGTCGGGTGTCCATGCCCGTCGAACGCAACGCCTGCGGCAGGCGATTGGAGTCGTCATACGGATCGTTATGGAACGGCGTGGCTGGAAGAAGGCGGGCAGGAAAGGGTCGCTAGGAGTTCGCGCGCAGCGCACTAAGGGGCGAGCCGGCCCACAACACGGGCGGGTTGGCTTTCTGGTTCGTCCGTGCTGAGCGGTACGAGCTTGCTGAGGGATGCCGTTTGCTTCGGTATCGGAGCTGTGCAAGCAGATGGAAGAGCCGCCGAAGCCTCGTTCGTCGAAGAATCGGCACACGATTAAGGATTAGCAAACGAACGCCGAGCCATCCGCTGACAGACGAAGCCGCGACGGGGCACATTCGTATCTTGTCACGGTTGAGGGACTGGAGTCGGCTCTTAACTTGCTCGCTCGGCTCAGCTCCGAGTTCGTTTTCAAGACGGCCGAGCCGATCGTTGTCGGAGCCACATCGGGTCGCTGTAGCTTTCGGGTTTCTTGCGCTCCCGGCATGTCGGTCCGTCGACTGCAGGGCCTGCTGTCTGTTTTTCCTAACGCACGGCTTGTGACGGAGCCTGCGGCTTGAGCGATCGACGGGGTCGGTACGAATGAGCGGGAACTGGTTAAAGGAGCTCTTCACCGTGCGCAAGTGCGGGGTGCTGGCTTTTCGTCGTGGCATGGTGTTGGCGAAGTTGCGTCAGTACGCGAAGGCAATCGACGCCTACACGACGGTTCTTGCCACGCCGGACATCGAAGCAGGATTGCAGGCGATGGCCCTTCACAACCGCGTGCTCGCTCTTATCGCAAGCGGCGACAAGCCAGCCGCGGCGGTCGATCCCGAACAGGCGCTGCTCCTGTCTGGCGTTTCGGCCACCATCAAGACCGAGGCGCGGCGGAAGCTTGTGAGAATGAGAAGAAACCCGACACTCACCGATCGTACAGGCGGCAATCGATAAACGACGAAGGAACGAAGCATGTTAGTACTTAGCAGAAGAACGGATGAATTCTTGCGGATCGGAGACAACATCTTTTTGAGGGTGCTTGGCGTAACGGGTCGCGTCGTACGCCTGGGAATCGACGCCCCCTCCGACATCCCGATCTTACGCGGCGAGCTAACGGCGTTCGATTCAACAGACGCTTGCAGGCAAGCAGGCAATGCCCAAGAAGCGCGAGCGGCCAGACGGGCCCGAGGTCCGCACGGCAGAAGGACCGGCGCAGCATGAGGGCGAATGACACGAGTCCATCGACTCCACGCTCCGTGCTGCGACGCCCCTTCGGACCTCGTTGCCGTGAGGACGCAGAGCACGCGTGCAGCGTGGTCTACGGCTTCACCTCACGGACCGCCTGCGAAGCTTTCTGTGACCGCGTCGCCAAGCCGTTGCGGCCCTATCCGTTGATTCGCGGCTACCTGGCCCGGGTAATCGACCACCCCGGCATTCGGCTGATCATTGTCGACGCACCGAGTCATACAGAAGAAGCCCTCGACGCGGCGCTCGCGGAAGAACGAGTCGCAAACAAGTGCGATGCAAACGGTCAAACCATCGCGCTCTATCGGTTGACACTCGACAACGAGACTGCCGGGTACGACGTCGAACTGCGGAAGCTGCACAACGCGGAGTCAACAACCGCAGGCGGCTAGCGGGTTCGCCGGCTTAAGCTTTTCCACCCATCAATTAGCAGAGGTTCCAATGAGCTGGGAAGTCATCGAGCGGGAATGGAAGTTCGTTTGCAATCAGGTGCTGCTCACTTTGGGCAAGCTCAGTGAAGATGACCTGGTCTTCATCGCTGGCGATCGCGATCGCTTCGTTGACTTGTACGAGCAGCGCTATGGCGTTGACCGGGAACGAGCAACCGCCCGCGTTGATGCGTTCGCGGAGAATCTCACGCTTACCTCGCCAACAGCCGCCCTGACGACGCCCTGCTGAGAAAGCTCGGCGACGAACGCCTCCCTAACCTAGCTGGATTTCAAATGCCGATTTTGAAAGGGACTCCTGTCAGCCCTGGGCTCGCCAGTGGTACAGCGATTGTCTACGACTTTGAGGTGGGACGCAGGCTAAGCGTCCAGCACGCCGGGGAATCAGGTTGTGATGTTACCGAAGAGTGGGAGAGGGTCGACAGTGCGCTCGCACAATCGAGCCACGATCTGGGGCGCGTCGCCGAACTTGCGGGCAACGCGCCCGTCAGCGCGACCTCGCTGTCGCTCTTGTCTGCCCATGCGGCGATGACAGCCGAGATCGCATCTCTCGTGAAGAAGCACATTGACCACCAGCAGGTGAATGCCGATCGGGCGCTCGAATCGGTGATAGCAGCGTGGGTCGAGAGGCTGACGAGGCTCGACAGCGAGTACCTTCGGGAGCGAGAGCAAGACGTCCGCGACGTTGGCAGACGAATGGCGAGGTATCTCTCGGGCTCGATGCCTTGGAGCAAAGGGCCGTTGAAGGCCGATTCGATCGTCGTGGCGCGGGAGCTGCTGCCTTCGGAGACTGTCGAACTTTCTAACTGTGGGGTCTTGGCGATCGTCGCCGACCGCGGTGGACGGTACGGCCACACCGCAATCCTCGCCCGCTCGCTGAATATCCCAATGGTCAGCGGCATCACCGACGCCGCCCGGGTAATCCATCCTGGGGATCGCCTGCTGGTCGATGGCGAGACAGGCCTGGTTATGGTTAGCCCTACAGCGAATGAGAGAGGAGTGTTTAATGAGCGGATGACGCGTGTTGCAGCCGATTCGTCCACCAAGATGATCGAGCGCGACCAACCGTGCACGACCCTGGACGGCGTTGGGATCGAACTCGTCGCGAACCTAGGTCGACCGGACGAAACGGCCTCGGTCGTCGAGCAGGGCCTCGAAGGGGTTGGGCTCTTCCGCACCGAGTTCATGTTCATCGATGCGCCCAATCGGCCTGACCCGGCGACGCAAGGCGCCATCTATGCTGACATAGCGAATCAACTCGCTGGACGTCCCCTTGTCGTCCGGACTTTCGACCTCGGACGAGACAAGATCCCCCCCTTCTTGCTGACGGACGAGACCGAGCATCCGACCGGGTTGCATCTTGGCGGATTGCGTTTCCTACTAGCAGAGAGTTCGCTGTTTGAATCCCAGCTGCAGGCCATCTTGGAGGTCTCACAGGACCACGATCTTCGCATCTTGCTGCCGATGGTGGTCGGCAGCGATGACTTCGGGAAGGCGGTTTCCGTCATCCAGCGTGTTGCCGATCGCTGTGGCGTGCTGCGAACCCCGCCCATTGGCGCGATGATCGAAACCCCGGCCGCGCTATTCTGTCTGGATCAGATCCTCGACCAAGCGGACTTTGTCGCCCTCGGGACGAACGACCTCACGCAGCTGCTCCTGGCAACCGACCGAGACCTCGCGCAGGCGAAGGACGACTGCACCGCCATGCACCCCTCGGTGTTGCGAGCGATTAAATCGGTCGTCGACGCCGCGGCAAGGCTGCAATGCCCCTTATGCGTTTGCGGTGAAGAGGCCGGCGATCCCGACTTCGCATGCCTGCTTGTTGGCCTGGGCATTCGAGAGCTAAGTCTTGGCCCCACGCTTGCGCCAGCCGTGCGGTCAGCGATCCGCAAGATCGACTCTGGTGTCGCAAGCCGTGTCGCAAGCCGCGCGATCGACTGCGACAGCGTCGCCGAAGTTCGAGAGTTGATTGACGAATGGCGGTCGCGCGACTTCGCAGAGGCCGACTTTGCCGACCGACCTTTCGATATTGCCCTACGGAGAGACTAGAAGACGAACTTGCAGGCTCGAGACTCTCAGTGCCCGGGCTACAACTCTTGCCAATCAAAGGACGTATGCTGTGAGTCACAAGAAGCCAGAACCCTTGATCAAGGCTCAGCCACAGAGGAAGTGTCCTGTCTGTGGCCACGTTTCTTACTCCGCTGGCGGGGTTCATCCTCAGTGCAACCGCGACGCAGCGGACGAGCAACGCAGGGCGCTGCGTCGCGTTGAAGCCCCCGCCCAACCCCCATCTGAGGAGGAGCGGGTGGCTAAGCGAAATCGCTTCAACCACTCGTGTCAGCCCAACCCATGACGAGCGCCGATGCAAGGCAGCGGCTACTCAGCGCCGACGAAGTTGCCCCTCAGACTCACCGATTCGAGGTGATCGGCGTCTTCAACCCAGGCGTCGTACGCACCGGCGACCGAACCATGCTGCTCGCGAGGGTCG